CCGATTTCCGTCTGTTTCTGCACACGCGATGACTTTTCTTTTAAAAGCGGCATCGTGGTGCACTCGAGTTTTTGAAGTCGGCCCTTCCATGCCGTCGATGCTAATGCACTACAAGATGACGAACTCCTCAGCACACGTACAAAGTGCCGCACATGGGAAACACATAGGCAGAAATGGCTGACGCGCCATGCCGACGCACGTAGGGGGCGGCCATTTTGGAAATGCCGATGGCAATAGAATGACCGTATTCATTTTTTTTTTGCACTCGATTCTAACGCGCATGCGATTTATGAACTCGCTTAACTGGAAAAAAGGTGCACGTTAGATTTGAGTAATTACGGTCCTTGATTGTTTCAGTCATGCAACACCATTTACATACAACCTAAAATCGCACAGGTACAACAAAAACGATCACACACAGTGAGAAACACTACTATCACCGAAGGCCAGCACCCCGTTGATTGGCATTAATGTACGAAGCCGGCTTAAGGTTCCTATTACGTGAGTGAGAAGTGCCGTGTGCCAATCAAACAGGTACTGGTCATCGGTGACAAATATTTCTCGCTGTGCGCTATCGTTTTTGTTGTATCTGTGCTTGTTTACGTTGTATGTTGTGATGAGTGAAGAAAACGACAACGACGGAAGTGCGGGGCAAGGCGCGTGTAATGTGCGCGTGAGTGCCAGCGAATCAGCTGATGACCTGCGGTGGCCCATAGAGGTGGCGTGCCATGATTGGGCCACGTGTGACGATTACGTGGCGGTAAGCTTTGTGGCTGGGGATGAGCCGAAGCAGCGGCAGACAGGAGACAGCGAGCCGAAGCGTCGGACGCAGGCGATCCAGGTTCCGGCCAGGGAACGCGGCTGTCTACGCTACTGCCGTCCAACTACCAGCTGGGGTGGCGTTGCCGGCACGCGTACTGCATCTCGGGGCGCGGCCTGGCCTGCTGTTCTCTTCCTTGCTGAGGGCATCGCGGATCTCGGCGAGGCGTCTCCACGGTCAGCCGTTCGGCACAGCAACGTACGTGGCCTGGCTAATGGTCACGGTTGCGCCGAGCATCGCGTCTCGACGCAAGCTGTTCGCTGGACGGGCTGGCCATTTACACGCATGGAGCATCGCGTCTCCGATGCGGGTTGACTGCTCCGTAGCCGCACCCATGCTATCAAGCGCTGGTGTCACGAGAGCGTCCCACATCGGCAAGGGACGAGCAAGACGTTCTGCTGGGCGAGACGCGGGCGTGTGTACGGAGGACCACGGAGCCGGGCGAGGTTCAGGGTGGCCGAGGATCTAGGTGCCAGGGGAGTTCTGGCTGAATCGAGGATCGCCGAGCGGTCCGAGCCGTACCGAGCGACGCGCCAGACTCGGATGTGGGCCGCGAGCTCATGAGCTGCACTGTGTACCCGAGGGTACCTGGCGGTGCCTTGGCCAAGAAAAAGGAACGTGGGAAAAAGAGCTCGAGGGTTGAGGCCACGAAGGCAGACGAAGCGGTGCGCCGCTCAAGAGGACGAGTTCCTGGCAGCGTTCCTGAGCCGGACGTGGGACCCGTACGTGTCGGCCAGGTCGAGCCCCAGTGTGTCTGTTCGAGGTCGAGTCCGTCGGCCTGTACAAGGTCCAAGGACGGGGCCTGCAGAACGGCTCCTGCCTGGGTGCAGTGGCCGGGAGCAGGTTCGTGGGCGAGGCCTACCGGGTGTGGTCCTCGTGAGCCGTGGCCTGATCCTGGACCTCCGGAGTTGCAACCCTGACTGCTGCGTTGGCCGCGACGTCCGACTCAACGGCGCTGCACACGGTAGCGTATCCGTGCGCCGTCAGCCGTTCCACCCGTGCCATCAAATAAATTGTTCATGTTAATCCGTTCTCGTCCGCTATCGACAAGCATAGTGACGAATGTCCTTAACCTTCACAATATCTTAATGGTATTGTGCAACTGAAACAATCATGTATTCACTTCTTGCTTAGCGGCCACAAAAAAATGAAAAGAAGCATTCCTCTGTAATTAGTTGAAGTTCCATGAAACTCCGGCAGATGCGAACGTCACTGTGGTACCGTGGACGTAACACAAGCAGTGGCTATGGTAATGTCTAAACGCAGCGTTATCGTTGGCTCTAGTTACGGCTGGACGTAACAATAGTGCTGGCTAAAGTTATGTCTGACCGTTTAGTTTCGCGAGCAGCAGTGCCAAACGTTATCGTAGCAGATGCAATTGTCACTGTAGTACTATGGTGGGTACCGTGGACGTGACGCAAGCCGTGGCTATAGTTATGTCTAGACGAAGCGCTACGTTGGCTATAGTCATGGCTGGACGTAACGATTGCGGTGCTTACAGTTAGTCTGTAACCCTAGCCACACCGTTTTTAATATGATACCAAATCAGAGTGTCCGAGCAGCAATTGGCATGCTGCGAAATCTCCTTGCCTGGAAACAGCCAAGATAAGTACATTACGAATACAGACAATGTTCACTGTGTTTTTTTTTTACAGAAAAGATGTGGTTCACAGTGAATTTGTGCCACAGGGACAAACCGTCAACAAGAAGTTTTAGTGCAAAGTGCTTAAACAGTTGCACAAAAGGGTTCTACATATCCAAAAAGAAAGTTGTGACAATTGAAACTTTTACAATGATCTGCCAAACCCCACCGCATTCACTATCTCTAAACTGCTGACCAAAATGGATAGCGTAAAACTGCCACAGTGGTTGCACAGCTTCACTCTGGCAACACTAGACTTCTTTTTGCTCCCACAGATCAAAAGAGCCCTAATGGGACCCCCGCATCAAAAACTGGAGACAGTAAAAGCAGCTTTGACGATCACCCTGAAGAAAGTTCCTGCAAACGGCTTCCAGGCTTTCAAGTATAAGGCAACGGTGCATTGAAGCAGGAAGAGAATACTTCAAAAAGTTCTGAAAAGACTGCAAACTGATATTGAATAAGTGCCTTTAAGGTAGCGGTTTTTCTACTGCCATCTTGCCAATAGTTCTCAAACAGACATCAGCCAACGCCACTCATACACGTTTGCAAAAAGGGAGAAAATTGTGTGAGCAAGTGCGGTTAGTGTCGCCTTGTGCGTCTCTTGCATATGGTGCGAGGCGACTGAAATCGGCCAATGAAAGGCTAGGAGCAGAAATGCGGATGGCGTCTTTTACCTACAATTGGCCAGCTGTACGACGAAAGATGCCCCTGCGACAGTCGGCAGACTGAAATCGGTATTGTTTTGCTCAAGTGTTAATGCATGCGCACACACTCTTTTTCGCTCACTCATTCATCTTTATGAAGTAATGATTGAACATAACATCAATCAAAAGCTTTGATGTGTTTGAGTGCATTGGCATGGCTGCTAACCTTCTTTTTGACGCAGCGGTTGTATCACTGCCTTGAGTAGCGTTGCGCGAGCTCGTCTTTTTTGTGTGTGTGTGTGTTTCGCGTGCTTTTGCTTATTCTATGCCGGAATATACGTAGCGTGAGCCACGGAAAAACAGACGGACGAACCACAAATGGATAAATAGACAATGAACCACGGATGGATGGACGGAAGAATGACCTACGGATGGACGAACTAGCAAGTGAGCGATGTCACGCGAGTGACATCGCTCACTTTTGGTAGGGGCTGGCGTTTTGATAGGGGCCCAAAGAAGTGGCATCAAGTTTTCGTCAGAGGACAAGGAAACTTCACCTCGAAAGTAATTGAATGTACTCTACAGAACCACTAAATATTATTGTTCAGCATTGAAAAGAAAGGAAAACACACAAAATCATTTGTTGCCCATTTTTATTAAAAGGTAAATAAAAGACTAATTATTTATAACCAATATCTCTTCATAGAAACCTTGAATAGCACTTCATTTAAAGGCAGTTATTTTTGCTTTGTTATGTTGAACAGTGTTGCCGTACTCGCAGTACAACGAAGAATTGAACAAGAGAAATGCTTTTTGTTGCCCACACTATATTCATTGCTATTATTTAATCCTTAGGACCAGGCAACAACACCAGGTGTCATTGGAAAGTGGAAATAGTAAGCCTTCCGAATAAACACATTTCAAATTTATTCACTGATCGCAGCGAGCACAGTGCATCAGCAAACAATGCCTAAAATGCGGAGCATGTAGCCACCAAAGTGCGACGGCCACTTTAAATAATATCTTGGGAAATATTGGGGAGACCCTGTATGCCACAATGCTAAAATAATGCGGGTTTAAGCTCCACACTCGTATAGCACTGTCACTACAAATCGTGATAAATAGAGGGATTTTGTGAACAGAGCGATTCTAGTACATTGTCACTTATTATCAAAGAAAGCATAGGAGTCAAATAAGGAGTGGCACTTTCTTTTACCAATGGAGGTTATGTGCAGAACAACATAACAGGATTCAAACATATGAAATGGAGACATACTCCTACTAAAGTTTTGCGAAGTTGCATTTTTCTTACAAGACTACACAATGCAGTAGAAAGTATACAACCAATGCATTTTGCCAGTCTTTCCATAAAGCGAAGAAGACTGAAGAATAACCAGAAACTCAAAAAGAAACTATAGACCGCACAGTGTGCTGTGAAACGAAAACTGATAGGTGTGAAAAAGTTGGGAAGACAGCGAAGTGCCTTAGTGAACAAACAAAGATAGCCAATATCGCAGAAGATATTAAAAGGAAGAAATAGGCCTGGGCAGGCCACGTTATGAGAATGCCAGACAACAGGCGGCCAGGTATACCATCGAAAAGGATACCGCGAGATGGGCATCGATGGGGACATCTAAAGATTAACTCAAGCTACAAAATCAAGAAATTTGGAGACATAAGTTGAAATCAGCTTGCACAAGACATGTTGGTCAGACATCACTGGGAGTGGAGACATAAGACAGGCTGCTGATGATGTAATGATAATGGTCCTCATGAATGATGGAAATTAAATTCATAGGTTAATGTTCCTGGCTAAATGAATTCATTTACATAAGATTAATTGTAATACAACATTTATATATATCTAAACAGGAGATAATGCAATGGTACTAACCCCAGAGACAAGGAAAAGGCTGCAGGTCCAGTCCACAATTGCAAAATAAGCCCGTTGGTAAAGCATCTTGTTATGTATCAGTAGCGAGGATGAGACCAGAAACAGAAGGGCCAATACTCCCCATAGCACTGTGTCCTGTAAAAAAACCAAGATGTAAATTCCACAGCACCAGCAAATGTACCAAATTGAGCACTGTCACGTAGCCCAGATACAATCAGGAAACAATATGGGTATATAAAAATTTTTTTTTTAATGTTTGACAAATAAATTTGCATGAAAGGAGACACTTCATGTATGCATGGGAAGCACAATTTAAGTCGTACTTTCGTTTTCAGCAGAGTTGCCACCGGTGGCTACTTTTTGCCAAAATGGCGAATTCAAGAGGCTCATCATCATCATCATCATCAGCCTGACTACATCCACTGCAGGACAAAGGCCTCTCCCATGTTCCGCCAGTTAACCCGGTCCTGTGCTTGCTGCTGCCAATTTATACCCGCAAACTTCTTAATCTCATCTGCCCACCTAACCTTCTGTCTCCCCCTAACACGCTTCCCTTCTCTGGGAATCCAGTTTTACCCTTAATGACCAGCGGTTATCCTGTCTACGCGCTACATGCCCGGCCCATGTCCATTTCCTCTTCTTTATTTCAACTATGATATCCTTAACCCCCGTTTGTCCCCTAATCCACTCTGCTCTCTTCTTGTCTCTTAAGGTTACACTTACCATTTTTCTTTCCATTGCTCGCTGCGTCGTCCTCAATTTAAGCTGAACCCTCTTTGTAAGTCTACAGGTTTCTGCTCCGTAGCTAAGTACCGGCAAGATACAGCTGTTATATACCTTCCTCTTGAGGGATAGTGGCAATCTACCCGTCATAATTTGAGAGTGCTTGCCGAATGTGCTCCACCCCATTCTTATTCTTCTAGTTAGTTCAATCTCGTGGTTAGGCTCTGCGGTTATTATCTGCCCTAAGTAAACATAGTCTTTTACAACTTCAAGTGCACTATTACTTATCTCGAAGCGCTGCTCCTTTCCGAGGTTGTTGTACATTACTTTCGTTTTCTGCCGATTAATTTTAAGACCCACCTTTCTGCTCTCCTTGTCTAACTCCGTAATCATGAGTTGCAATTCGTCCCCAAGAGGCTCGTGGCGACCTAAAATTATCAATCGCGACATGGTGAATTTTGGGTGATTTTTGGCTTAGGTCTCAATTTAGCTATGCATTCTAAACTCATCGTCTTCAAAACGAATGAGCGACAAGATTTTTTAGATTTTTGTAGAGTTAGACAAACCCATAGGAGGCGTACTTTACTTGCAATTCAGTGTGTCTGTCTTGTTTCACATGTGTATCTCCCCAGTTCACCAACATCCTAGAGGCACTGGCGCACTAGTGCAATCCACCAGCAATCTACCAGCATATAATTTAGGTCAGCGGACTTCTTCGCGTGCCACAAAGAGGTGGTGTGTACCAAGTTTATTAGGTGCCTTAAGAGTTTTAGGTTTCTTTAAAGTTTGACTTATGATGTGGCAAGGTGGTGATTACACTGCAAGTTCTGAACACAGCTCCAACTGTCCTGAATAGTTTGTCGACTTCTTCACTGCTGTATTGGTCCCTAATTTGGTAAGTAGAGTTTAAATTTGTTAACATTCTTTTCAGGCCGCCCAAGAAACCAGCTTCTTCAGTTAGCCTTCAGAAACTGCGCTGAGATGATTGCGTAGTGCAAGCATGACCACACAAAAAACGAGGTGCAGGCATTGCGACCGTTATGCAGTACTTTCGAATTTATTACCGTTGTGTGAATACGTTTTTCGATTTTCAAACACATGATGCTACTGCAATGAAGTTTTCTAAATTTGAAGGAAGGCCACACAAGCAGTCCCTCTCTCGTTAAAGCGACTGTTTTCTTTGTATTCACTAAAACTGAAACCATCACAAATTTTTCTGATGAGCCGCTAGCATTCAGGGACGCTGCTGCTGCATGCACACCCTTTATCAGTGGTCCCATGGTGAAGCGGGTGATGTGACTGGCATCAAAAAAGGTCAATATGATTTAAAGGCTATGAATGATACTGTACTCAACGAGACTATACATAATTAGCAATCTTTATTTGAAGGCACGCCACACTTATGCAATGTGGCGACTTTTGGCGACTTTCCGCTCGTTGTTTTGCTTATTTCACTTGAAAATCAGTGGCAACCATTGTTTTCAGCCTAAAGGGACCCTGAAACACTTCTCAAGTAGTCATAGAATGGATTCAATATAAGTGCTTATTGCCTCACGAATTCACTGCTGCGAAAAATTTTGGAATCCGTACAGTTTGAGCGAAGTACCAAAGATTTGTCAAATGCTGCAACTGCATTCTCTCGTCCCAATGAAAGCGCTAGAAGCTAAGCAGGGAGAGATGGAATGGGGGAAGAAAATATGTCACACACGTCTTGTAACCTTGAGCACTTTTTTTCTCTCTACCCCCCCTGAATACGTGTCTTTTCAGTGCAGTTGCGCACACGCATAAACAAGTCACAGGAGCACGCCATACTCAAATCAGCCACTGACTGATACAATGCCTGTGACGAGTAATTTTTGAGCTTGCAGCATCATTTTCTGAGAGAAGAGAACGCAATTTCCATTTGACTTTGACAATTTATTGTGAATTTCAGGCCATGTGCTGCGCTATAATATTTGGCTCACGTGTTCTTAGGTGCCTTGATTACTGATGACAGCACTTTCTGACTACGCTCAAAAAGTGTTGAAGGGCCCTTGTAACAGTGTACAAAAACTTCTAAAGGCATAGCATCAAGTCTCTACAATGCACAAGTACAAGTGTTATGCACATTAGGAAATAATACAAGTTACGTATTTCCTTGAATTATGTCTAAAGTTTTTTTGCCTTTTCAGCATTGAAAAAAACATAGACTGTGTGTCATTTACAACTGTGCCACACGGGCATAGAAAATGCCATTAACTTTCTAATGCCTTAAGAATGAATGCCATTTGTCCCCTGATGCCTTCACAAAAACCTACACAGCTGAAAAATGCATCTAGACACTTGCTCAGTGCAGTAAACAAAACGCATTTGAAATAGAATCCATTGTGCAAAAATATCTTACGCACGAGTTTTAACACAGCATGTTATTTCCCAGTTCCACAATACCAAAATTTACTTTTGAATTGCAACGGCTTTGATGAGACAGACGTTTTGTTGAATTCCGGACGCCATGTCGGATTCAGCATGCAATGGCCACAGTTAATGCGGCCAGTTGCGATGTTCTAAAAAACTGGAAAAAACTAAACCTAATTGCACAATAATATGCTTATTTATATATTTCACTACTCGAGAATACAAAGTACAGTTGTTCAAATGTGCATTTATATTTCATTATTACCTTAATATTGCTCACTTCAAAAGTAACTGATATTGACATCACGTCAAATTTCATTAAATTTAGACTTGTGGCAGCTTGGCCGAAAAAAATGTCATCCACACAGGCTTGTGGCACAAGTGTAACAACTATAAAATCCTGAATTTTACAAAGCACCTTCAAATTACTACAAGCTTAATAGTAAGAAAGCGGTTTAATGTGTGCCTTCAACAAACTCCCATATCTGTGGAACACAGGGATAATGTCAGTACATCCATCCCAATGGAGCTCTATAATTGTTGAAAAATGGCATCTAATTCCAGTCACCATGATTCTGGCTTTTCTCTATGCACTGTTACCATTCCACATGCTGTGCGAAGCATGCTACATGAGGCACAGCCAATTCTGGGCACATGAAAGGCAACAAAGATGGCAAAAAAAAGTGTTTGAAACTATGGTAACGACAGGCTAGCAAATAGATTATAAGACGCATAAGGACATGCTTAAAAAAAGAAAAATAATTGAAATGGACGGCTCTGACTTTGATAGTACCACATGTACAACACTGAACACACCAAATAAGTAAAGAAGGGCTAGGAAAAGCCCAAAGAAGGGCACATGGTTATTATTATTTATTGTTTTTTCCCCTCATGACCCCGTGCACTACAATGCTTACCAATAGTGATTGATTGATATGTGGGGTTTAATGTCCCAAAACCACCATATGATTATGAGAGACGCCGTAGTGGAGGGCTCCGGAAATTTTGACCACCTGGGGTTCTTTAACGTGCACCCAAATCTGAGCACACGGGCCTACAACATTTCCGCCTCCATCGGAAATGCAGCCGCCGCAGCCGGGATTTGAACCCGCGACCTGCGGGTCAGCAGCCGAGTACCTTACCAATAGTGAGGGTTACTCGTGCAATGCACATACCCAAATAGAATGTGTCTAAAATGTCAGATGTACTTTAAAAGCCCTTTTAGCTGCATCATCAAGTACACAGGGAAAAAAGAAAAGAATAAAAGAAGCCTCAACAGGAACAAAAGACAAAGGAAGATGTACAGCCATGGCCACATCTGTGTAGAGCGCGCGACCAGCCGGTTTTCGCTCAGCATGGGAAACACCTTGAGGCAATTTCTAGCTCTGATGAGCCTGACAACTAGGCTGCGCGTGCTTCTGACACACCATGTCAGAGCTCGAAATTGCCTCAAAGTTTTGCCCCGCAGAGCTAAAACCGACTGCTGGCACGCTATATACAGACCACTGTTAGAGGTAACACGGAGAGTTTGGCCGCGCCCTATGGACTACCAAGTCAGCGCTGCGCAAAGTATTGCAGCGCACGTGCTATCAGTGTCCGAGGCGGAGTTGGCTGCGCATAGCCTGCTACGGTTTCTCCCACACCGCCGCAGGTGGTGAAACCTACATTGCACGCACACTTTGCCACAGAGCTTGCGGTGAAGTGGAAAGAACCATGCCAAACGACTCACAGCGAACTTCGAATCTGGTGTTGATTGCACTCGCGCTACAATACTTCCCGCGGTGCCCGCTTGGTGGTTCTAGGAGTGTGGTGACGCATGCCGTGTTACCTGTAACAGTGGCCCTTGAACTAGTATGCCTAATCTGAGCTGCACTATGCAGCAACACTCTCGAGCGAGCCTGAGCTGGCAGCTTTATGTGCCAGTTCTACCAAAAAAGTGAGGTGAGTTTTACCATTCCAATGATGCAGCGTATTAACATCGTGCTTTCCATCATCTGCCTTCTACAGACGCATCATGGCTGTATCGTTAAGTAAGGCATCGTAAGGCATGCCTGTGCTTATTTAATATGCTGCACTTTGTCATGATCACAAGCAGTTACTCCTTGGTAGTAAAGTGTGCTCCTGTTTTTAAGTTTTCCACTCGTGCAGCTAAGGTAAAGGACAGAAGCCTCCCTTTGTCCTGTAAGCTGCCTAAATAGTTCCTGAGGCAATTGTCGGCACAAAGCAAACGGCAGAGTTTGTTCTGTTATCAAAGTGAGGAGGCTTGACTCGAGAGTAGTCCGAGCAGAAGGCAAGCAAGCAAAAAGTTTTCTCACGAGGTGTCTTTGGCTTGAATACCAAAGTGCAGCCATTATCTTTGAATGCAACCAGAGCAGCAAGGAACCTAGTACAGTTACGTATAAGCTCACGATTTGCACTCTGGCTCTCTCAGTGCCTTAAGATCAGTCCAACTTTTCTATCAAATTTATTAGTATGTTTTCATTACCACTGCTTATTCTTTTTTTTTGCATATACTTTGATTGTAGCATTTGGCACACTTCCTGTTTGTATTCTCTTTTTTATTAGTAGATGTCTTATCATACCCTATTGATCGTATCCCTCCCTGTGGTGGCTTTTCTTATACATTCTGTACAACATTTTGTTTTGTTCACACCTCTTGCTTATCATGAAAGCACGAGAGTGCACTTTTTTGTTTGTGATGCACGGTTGCAAAAGATCTATTAATGAGGTTACGAGTGTTTCTCCTGCTCTCTTGGCATATGCATCTGGCGCCTGATTGGTCAGGATTGGACCATCCAAAGTCCATCAAGCTAACCGAAAAAAAAAGAGAGAGAGAGAGAGAGAACGAGGGTGTCCTAGCATTTTTCTTCCCTGTGAAGTATTGTCAAAATTTTTTTATGTGGGCGCAAGATGGTTCATTACCTCATTCCTTCTGTTCTGGACGGTGCTATAATTTACTTTCGAGCTTTTGACGAAGCAGCACAAGAGCTGATGCGCTTTTCTGGAGTGGCAATACTCTTTTCAATATCTTAGATGCTAATATTCCTAGTTTGAGTGCGTTGGGGATTGCTCACAAAATGCAATACATTCAGAACATGACAGCATATGCCAAAGGAGTCAAAGGTATAGTGGACAGATATGAGGAAAGACCCTTGGCAACAACAAGAGAGAAAAGGTATTGAAAGTTTTTTTTGTGAGCACATCTAGTCATGTGACTTCAGGATCAGAGACAGGCACTGCCACAAGTGCACGTGAATGCTACGTGGACAACAGTGGTAGAAAGCACACACAAGTGGCAGCCAACAGAAACTTGCAGCATAAGTGATAGATGATTGTCTACATTAAAATAAAGTGCAAAGTTGTGTGCTCAGTTGCACAGTATACAATATTGAGTTTAAATGTGTTTAGCCATATTTGCCTGAATATTTTGTAGATGACATGCATCTCCACACAGTTATATTGTTTATAAAATTTTGTCCCAGTACTCCTTTAATTCAGTCTAAGTAGAGTACTTTAACAAGTAGAGTACTTTAACAAGCACATAGTTTTAAGTACATAAGTGTTCATGCATTTATTGTGGTTTTTTTTTTGCTTATAAACACAAAATAGTTTAGAAATATATTCATTAGAATATATTCTCAGATTACTTTTCTTAAGTATTGCTGGACTCTTACTATGAGAATAGCAGCTTAAGTAGTTCTATGAAATGCCACTTTGTGGTCAAAGAGAACTCACGATGAGGGCCCAATTTAGGGGCAGGATGTGGACAATGGAGGAATTGTCCACTACCATCAGAGCAGCTGTTAGAAGAAATGCCAGCACACACACAAACAGGTGTAGGCGAACACGCTCCGACCGTGGTAGCTGCAGGATGTCATATTCCTTCGTTCCCGCACTTGCTATGCATATAAGGCTCAGCAGGGACAGAAACTGCACATAAAGCAGCTTTGCATGTTTCTCATTGGTTCACACATACCTGTGACAATGATGTAGCAACAGAGAACACATGAAAAATACATGATCAAAGAACAATCATTGCAGCTTAGCTCAGTGGAACAGCATGATGGCAAGATGTCAAAAAGAGTGCACAACACACTATGCAGTGGTGAAAACAATATAATGAAGGCTAACCAAATGTTTGTTCCTCGCTATAAATTTACATTCGCCAGAACTACATGTAATCACCATCATGTCTCTTTCTCGATGCACTGTTTCAATCAATAAAGTATTCGCTTTCACTGCACTTCAGAATGAAAATCGTTCTTGCACTTGATTGAATGCTATTATTCAAATATGTGTACAAATGAATAAATAGGTATTTTTTTCCCACTTGAATGACGTTACCCCATTGAAAAATTTCCATCAGAGATTGCTCATCTCCCACAGTTCGTAATAACATAGCTGAGCCAAATATTTCTTGATTTATGATTAACTAAGGAGGTGAATATGGAGGGAATCAACGTCGCTCAACGCTCACGCAGACGCGCGGTAGATAATGAAGAAAAGTATGTTTTGAACGAACGATGCATGCAAGTAAGCAGATTGACTGAAAACATTATTGCAACGAGTACGAGCTAGAAAACAAAATACACGCAAAGGCTCTGACAAAAGCAGGTGGGGTAACATAGCAATATATGTGTCAAAGAGAATTCATGCAAAGTCTAACCAGAATTGCGATCCTTAGTGCGCCTACGATGGTGAAGGGATACGACTTGTCAAAATGAAGCACGACGGTTTTGTGCAGTGCTTCATCCTGTGCAGTGTCCATATTTGCTGGTGAATTGCTACGAAGCGCTCTTGTTTCCTCAGCTGTGCTAGCATCATCTTCAAGAGCAATGGTCTTTAGACAAGAGTCGTCGATGAAATGTGACAGGCGGTCGTGAGGAGACGAAGTTGTCACTGCACTCGAGTCCAGTCGGCTTGACGTTGCCGACTTGATCTCCGATGCCGTATCATCGGAGTAGCTCATACTACGTCCGTGTACTTACGACTCCAGTGACCGTTTTTCGACACACAGCGAGGCGATACAAACAACAAAGCTGTCAAAAATCACATGTACCCGACCGAGGGACCGAGCGCTTCGCACTCCAAACTTCAACTACACACCGCTCACGGCGCAATGCTCACAACTTAAGAGTGACGCAACGCCAATCAAGGTAGCGAACTATTTTAACGGAAGCCGTGAAAATAAAGATGGGCACAAAAAAAAAAAGTAAAAGCACTTTTATATGACAAATTTTCGACGCTTTTAGTATACGTATATCTTTGATTGTCATAACAATTTTTGACTAAAAAAACTGATACGATTTGAACGCTCAATAAAGGATGCGTGGCGTGCGCAGGTTCGAATCCCACCCAGCTATACACCCCGGGAAGAATTTGTTTTGTTTTGCCGCCAAGAAGATCTCGGCGAAGAATGTCTTTCGGCAAGAATGTCTGTCTGTTTCTTTTTTTCTTTATTTGGTGGTAAGAATCTGCCCAAATTCTTGTGGCACGTACTCGTTCATGATGATAATGATAGCTTTCGGATCGGGTCGTGACTTTCGTGACACACTTCAATGGCGAGCAGCCGACAGGTGGCCAGAAGTTCCTAGATTTTTCTCTGATGAGGAAGACTTCCGGTGCGCCTCTTTCGGAAAGTTCTCCATAAAAAAAGTGACATAATCCAAATAAAGAAGAGTGTAAGGCAGGGAGCTGGAGACGCGTGTATACAGGAGGTTTTAAGGACCCTAAAGTGGGAGGAGTTTGGGATAGGAGTTGATTGAGAGTACCTTAGTACCATGTAATTCACTGATGACATTGCCTTGATTAGTAACCCAGAGGATGAATTGCAGCTTATGATTACTGAACTGCTGACCAGCAGGTCGCGGGATCAAATCCCGGCTGCGGCGGCTGCATTTCCGATGGAGGCGGAAATGTTGTAGGCCCGTGTACTCAGATTTGGGTGCACGTTAAAGAACCCCAGGTGGTCTAAATTTCCGGAGCCCTCCACTACGGCGTCTCCCATAATCATATAGTGGTTTTGGGACGTTAAACCTCACATATCATCATCATCATCATCATCATCATCATCATCATCATCATCATCATCATCATCATCATCATCATCATCATCTTCATGATTACTGAACTGGACACTGAAAGCAGAAAAGTAGGTCTGAAAATTAATATGCACAAAACTAAGGTAATGTGCAACAGTCTCGGCAAAAACATGTAAAGTGTTTATTTGGGCCGGTTGGTACACTGATCAGGGAAGTGAAAAAAACAGCGCGTAACACAGGACAGTGACAGAGACGGACGAAGTGCTCACTTACAACCACGGTTTTATTCCATACGAAACTCAAAAAAGAGGAAAACCAGAAGAGTGATGTGAAACTTTTGTTATTTATGAAATGTTTGTATGCGTCTGAAAAAACAAGCCTTTAAATATTCAGCAATTATGCACACGTAATAATAATAATTTCTGGAGCATTACGCACCCAAACTACGATATGTTAATGAGGCGTGCCGTAGAGGAGGACTGGACTGGAAAAACTATGCCTTATCTACAGCACGCGCTTATCGCGTAGCGGACGTCTCCCGTTCTCTGCTGCGACAGAGGAGGGAGCCTGAAATTTCGGTCATGTGGGGCTATTTCACGTGAATTTATACCTACGTATACACGCATCCATAGGCGTATCAGCCGGGGGGGGGGGGGCAAGGGGAGGCTAGCCCCCCACTGAGAAAAGTTGGGAGGGCTGAGCCCCCCCACCCCCTTTTTTTGATAGGGGTCACTTTTGCTGCACGCTGGGGAACCTAACAAGTAAGGTGAAGTTTTCCGTGACAACAGTAATCACTCGATGATGTTCTTACAGGAGAATGAAAATGTTACGAGGCAATGTTACAACATAGTGAAATTTTGCCAACATTTCCTCTGTGATAATTTTCCTTGTGGGCTCTTTGAGGTGCGGGTCGCCTATGCGACGCCTTTGCGTCTTGTGCTGTAGTATTGCAGAGCAGGCAAGCGCTGAACAGGGGCCCTATAATATTACTCCACTTGTTCAAGCTTTTATTCTGCTGTGACTTGTTGATAAAGTTACGGATGGGAACGAGCAAGCTTTTTTAAAGACCGTCAAAACATTTGCTGCTTCCGGAAAATAATTTTCTTTGAAAAGGATATATCGTCACCGCTGCTCTGTCGAAACTGTTGCGAGCCGATCAGTGTTACGAATCGTTTTGGACGTGGAAATCGGGCCAAGGACGCCATTTCTCAGTTAAAATTTGATTGAACTTCGTGGTACCTAAGAAAGCGAGTCGTGTCACCTCTGTGTATGCAAATTCGTAATTCATATTAAAGTGCAAGCGCATTGATGAAGTTATCTCTCTCTCTCTCTCTCTCTCTCTCTCTCTATATATATATATATATATATATATATATATATATATATATATATATATATATATATATATATATATATATATATATATATATATATATATATATATATATATATATATATATATATATATATTGTGAAGAAGAAGATGTGCCTGCAGCAAGCAGCATCGACAACGCCCGGCTCTCTCGGCTCGTGCTTCGGTTCGTTGCTGTGCTGGTCGCTGGACGGCTCTTCACGCTGTCTCGTCGCCGTCTTTAACGGCTAATAAACCTCCTCACATTTGGTGGAGGTGCGGGGTATCGGCGATAGCGCTGGAAAACGTATCCTTGGACGACTCCTCGAGGGCCGACAGTGATTTTGGGTGGTCGCAGTAGTCATCCGGGACATCAACCAAAGACGAAGGGTCGAGATCCTGCACGCGGCCGAGACATTCCCCGCAAGCAAAGTGACAGGTGTGGAAAGTGGGTTGAGTATGAACAAATTGTTTCTTCCGGCGGCAAGGTCAATCGTTGCGAAAGGCAGCGGCAGAGCTCGACGACTCGTGAAGATATCGGAAGGCATTAAAGAAGACTGTAGCGTCAGTGTAGGCGTTGCATGAAACTGGAACAAGTGCGAAATTTTCAGGTGGAATATCGGTATCTTCATGCACGAACAACTTCGGCGGCTGATGAAGAGCGTCAAGTAATGGGACATCACAAAAGGGTGAAAACTCAACTTCAGCCTGTGCGCAGTCAACGACGGCATTATGGCGGGATAGGAAGTCCCATCCGAGGATGACATTATGCGAACAGACAGCGAGGACAATAAACTCCACAATGTAAACAATGCCTTCGATGGACACTCTTGCAGTGCAGGCTGTGGGAGGCGTTACTTGCTGTGCCCTTGCGGTGTAGAGTGACAGTCCCGAAAGCGGCGTCGTGACTTTACGTAATACACGGCAGACATTAGCGGCAATAACAGAAACAGCGGCGCCGGTGTCTACAAGGGCGAAAGTAGAATAACCTTCAACAGTTACTGCGACCACGTTAGCAGGAGAGGGGCGAGGGCTTAGACAGTTCGAAAATGGCGCAGTTCCTGCCTCTTGAACTGCGGTGCTTAGTTTTCCTGGTCAGAAGGTCTGGGCCGGCGACGCATGGGGGAGGGCGATCGCCGACGAGGAGAGGGCGCGCGCGGCGTCACGAAGTCGGGGTCGTTGGGAGGGGCATAGCGAGGTGACGAGACCAGCCCGTATTGCGCGAAGGGTTGGCTGCCGGGTTGCGACGATCGGACATAGTCGCCGAACGTCTGAGCTCGACGGCGGCAGTAGCGGGCAACGTGTCCGGGAGTAAAGCAGGCGTAGCATATCGGTCGGTTATCGGGCGTCGTCCAAGAATTGGCGGCTGGTGGTGCCGCCCAAAGTGCAGAATAAGCAGCCGGGTGTGCGGGCTGTGAGCGCGAGGTGTAGGGTGGTTGCGGAAGCCTACGCACAGCGTCTGCATATGTGAACGGCGCTGCTACAGGCTGCATCACTTGCGAACAGGCGACAGGAGGAGCCACAGGCTGTGCTGCATACGTTAGGGAAGGTTCACATTTGGTGGAAGGTGCTGTTAATCCCCGTTGCTACACCCTGGAGCTGCGAAGCCGCACGCTACCGCCTGTCATGACTGACAACGCCACTACATCGACGCCTTCGCCCCAGTTCAACTGCCCTGTCCATCCTAGGCTACGGGACCCGAAGGTCTTCAGCGGTGCGGATGGGACCGACGTCGAAGGCTGGCTCGAGCACTACGAACTGGTGAGCGCCAACAATAAGTGGGATGAAGCCGACAAGCTGGGCCACGTGATATTTTATCTCACTGGCGTCGCCGAATTGTGGTTTAATAACCACAAACACAACATCCCCACATGGAGCGTGTTCAAGACGTCATGTGCTGAAGTGTTCGGTCGGCCGGCTGTCCGCAAGCAGCGGGCAGAACAGCGCTTGCGCGTCCGCTCTCAGCAGACTGGCGAGACCTTTACCAGCTATATTGAGGACGTCGTCGACCTTTGTCGACGTGCGAATGACACCATGCCCGAATCTGACAAGGTCAAACCTATCCTGAAGGGCATCGACGACGGCGCATTTCAAATGCTCTTGGCAAGAAATTCGAGCACAGTTTCCGAAGTCGTCAGCTTGTGTCAGAGCTACGACGAGTTGAAGAAGCAACGCACTCTGACTCGGCAGCCTCAGCATGGTGGTGAGTCACTGTCCAGTTTCGACACCCTGCCTTCACCGTTGCTTCAGCACCGTTGCTTCAGCACCGTTGCTTCAGCCGTTGCTTCAGCAACCGTTGCTTCACCGTTGCTTCAGCAAGTTCGAGCCTTCGTCCGTGAGGAAGTCACCCGCCAACTTTCCCTAGTGCCCTTCACTCACGAGACCACCAGCCGTCTACCTGCCTCGCTTCGCACTGCTATTTCGGAAGAGGTTGCCCAAGCTGTTCCTGTTGCGCAGCACGAGCCGAGAGAGCCGGGCGTTGTCGATGCTGCTTGCTGTAGGCACATCTTCTTCTTCACAATATATATATATATATATATATATATATATATATATATATATATATATATATATATATATATATATATATATATATATATATATATATATATATATATATATATATATATATATATATATATACAGTGCAAGTAAAAAGTTGGTATAATAC